AGCTATCAATTCCCTGCCCACCTTGCTGACAGCAACTCTACATTTTAGAACTTCTCCATTTCCCCTCACCAAAAAACCCAAATCTGAACACTTCCCTACTCCACTGCACTAAAGCCTGTTCATCTGTCGAGTTCATCCATGTGAAGGTGATAATGTGTGATAACGAGGAGGAGCTTTGGTCAGCGCCACTTTGCACCCCCATCCTGGCCTCCCAGAGACGGTGCCTTTGAGTGACGTCCAAAGTACTGAAGCTATAAGCAAGAGATTCAGGGTCTCGGAGAATTCTTGTGCCTCTAAGTTATGCCATCAGGCAGCCTCATAGATGGCCCGCCCCGGAAGCTAAGGTCCACTCTGCATCTTTTTTTTACCAGAAGTGAGCCTTGTCAAGGTCAAATTTGACATCCTCACACAATCACATGACACAGATTCCTCTGTCTCTGTTAATGGTGTACGTGTTGCAAATCTTTTGTAAAAAGAAAAAAGTGGGTCCAGCTTAGGTGTTCGTGGTAAAAGGCCCAAACAGGAGATCTAAATGCATTCAATTCAGCCAGGGAATCAAGACACACATGAATTTTGTATCTTCTGGGTGGGAAAAAAAATCTATCAATACTGCCATTTTAGGATGACTGCATCTGATTCCTTTAAATAAAATCAGTAAGAAGATACTATTCAAGTAACCCTCCCTTGTCCCAGAGAGCAGAGAAAACTTGACTCTTGTCCCCACGTGATCCACGGTTACATAAGAAAGGGACAGGGTTTGGCAACTCTTAAATCATTCCCATCTCACTAAGGCAAGTTCACTTACACTTACACGTGTATGAGGGTTTGTCTGATGTGCAAACAATAACAGAATGTTTTTCTCATTCTATTCTACTTGGCCCCTTCAGTCACCTAAGAAAACCCTGGCTCTTGATCATTTCTCTCCAAACTGGCTGGATCAAATGTTCTCTAGGTCAAAAAGGTAATTGCATTGGCTTAAAAGGCCTACTTTTCCAATTTCTGCTGACTAGAAATAAGCAAAAATTCTGTTTACGTCAACAAAACATGCAATTAAGCAAAACTGGGCGATGATGTCAATATGGGCTACCAAACCAAGCTGTCCCTGGGAAATGGTCCCCACTTGACTAACATACCTCCCCGGCCTGAGCACTGACTAGAGACGTCGCTACTCCCACTGTGGCGGCTCTTCCTCCCTTATATGACCGTGTGGTACTAAATGCTACTTAATACTATTTGACATGCTGCTTCCTTCTAACTCAAAAACAGCAAGGCCCCACACCAGGTCTGGTTCAGTTTGACTTCACTGAACACCTACTATCCTCCTAGGTGTTGGCTATTCAGTCTCCCTCCTCTCTCCTAACCTCACCCTCTCACAATAGGAGTAGGTAAAAATTCTCCCTTCAAACTTTATACCACAACAACCCCTACAGCATTTCATTTTAGAGCTGAGGAAAGGGAACAGATTCACTGAGTTAAAGAACTTTCAAAATCAGCCACCTAAAAAAAGCAGAACCAAAGTTCAAATTCACATCTACAGACTCCAAAGCATTGATGCTGGGCCTCGGCCTTCCAGAAACAACCCCAATAATGCCCTCAACCAACTCATTGAAATGAGGGTGTCTGGACTTTTCCTCACTTCCATCTTGAAAGCGTTTGGGGTTACGATCCCCCATCAGGCCATCTGTCGCGTGTCTGGGGAAGGGGGTTAGTCTTCCCCACAAATACACTCACACACAGAGTCCACACCACAGCACCTTGAGTCCTTATCAGTGACCATGGGAGGCAAGGGTGCACCAAAACAGATTCTCCCCAGTAGTGAACAACAGGCTACAGGGCCCTCCACCCCTCAGGAGGGGAAGATCCACACAAAAGGTAACCGGATGTGCTTTAAGCTATTTGTGGGCTCCTTGAATCTCCCCACCTTCCCTGTGAACTGCTTGCATCTCCACGTCTTTGTTTTACCTTTCCTCAGGCTTTTCCTTTCAGCCAATTCACGGTTCCTCCCATGCTTTTGCCAACTGGAATAGAAGGAAAAGAACGCGAGCCGCAAACGTGTCACCAGGGAGATTTTAGGAGCTCTGGTTAGGATGGCGTGGAAGCTACGGCCCGTGTCTCAAATATCCAAACCCACGCTCCCACAGCTGGATAACTGAGCACCTCTATACCTGCTTTAAGCCTCCTAGGTGTGTGTTACACAGAGTAAGGAGCTAATGAATATTTCTGGACACGTAGCAGATGGACTGATAATTTACAAAGAATCTGTCTGAGGCTTGGTCCCACTCATTGTCTACTAACGATGCCCAAATACATCTGTGCTGCTCGTGTTCTCTTCTTTGTCTTCTGGTTTTCTAACAAGTGCAAAATCTCATTCTTAATATTCCTGCGCTACAGCTGATACCAATACTAGCCATTGTGAGATCTGCTTTCCCATGTTAAGACAAAAATAGATGTTCGAGACCAGAATTGGGAGTGGACAGGACTCCAGCCCCAAGTCACACTGTCGCAGATGGGCCCGGGCAGCCTCAGGCTATTGTTGGTGAGTGTGGAGGGGCAAAGGGTTAAGGCTAGAGGGGTCTCGGGCAGAGCACATCCTGTGTGGCCCACATGGCCAGCTCGTGACCTTGGTGGAAGCAATTCCATTACCTTTTGCTTTCGAGGGCCTCACCCTCTCTGAGGAGGCTCTCTGCAGCTTGACCTTTGGTGACCCCAGAATTTTCTGGCAGCTGCTGGAACCAGGGATCATCTTTTCAGAAATCTGCTTGGCATCATTCCGTGACTTATCTTTCAGGCCTCATCACAATTATTCATGCTTTGGCAGTATCCTAGCTACAGTCACAGCACAGTTCTGGGGCTATTATTGAGGGTTATTCTGGCCCAGCCGATGGAGAAGGAAGGTGCCGTGGCCTCTGGACCTTTGGCTCCAGGAAGGATCTCCCCAAGAGGGCAGGGGCTTCAAGGCATCTGTTCAAAAAAGCCACTCCTAACCTCCAGCTCTGGCAAACAAGCAAATAGGTGGGAATAAGAGGTCCCAATCACTGGTCCCCAAATCATGGACAATCTGGCTTTGGAGTGCATTCCACGCCACAGGCTCAGCTCTTCACCGGGACACACATTCACACAAACCCCAGGGCTCACCCCCTCCAGCTACCTCTCGGTTACACAAAGATCCGATCCTCTACCTTTCCATCATGTGTGGCAAATATTTTCTGATTTTACTTTTTTTTTTTTTTAACATCCTGCTTCTGTTCTGTGGTCTGTGCTTCCTGTTTTATATATTATACTACTTTAGACATGACCTCACATCCTGGCCAGTTGCACAGTAGCAGCTAACTCCAAGAGCTCTGCTAATGGTCCATACATCTATGCAAGAGGGGAATGGGTTACAAGCAAAATCCGAAAGGCAATAAGTTAGCATCCTAAGAATGGGCATTCTGGAAGCAGGGACACTTGAGTTTCAAGGTCAGAATTTCTGTGAGGCCTGCGGTAACTTACTTAACCTCTCTGATAAATGACTTAGCACATTGCAAACTACTATTACTCCTTAGCCTTCCAAACTATGGGATGCTGTCCGGAGTCTACATATTCCTGAGATCCTATGAGCTATTCTGTTCGATCTCTACCTTCCCACACCCATTCTGATGAGCAGAATGTGCACAACTAAGCTTTTCTTTTGATGTTGTCTCATATAGGTATTTACATATTTCCAATATATATACTTTCCAAGGGTTAAGAATCTTTTCCAAGATTTTCAGCATTATTTCAGTGAGCATTTATCCTTAGAGCAAACCTCTATCAATTGGTAGATCTTTAGAAAAAAAGGGAATGTTTACCTTCCCAAACAGACCTACACTTCCATGGTTTGCAAAACCTCATGTAGTTGCAACACTGCTTTCTTGTTTATGGCTCTATTACTTACAGAACAGATCTGAACCCACCGGGAAGAAACATACAGTCAGGAAACGCCACAGTTCCCTCTCCATGAGAGCTCCAAAACTCCATGCCTTCCTTGTCTGCCAGGACACGGGTCACCTTCTATTACTTCCCACATCACAGTACCTTACATCATCTTTGGGGGGCCCTACCTCATCACCACACTACTGTGTCTGCAGATCATTTTCTCACTCTGCTCTAGTCTCTTAGCCCCATGTGGTCACATAGAACGTCTGTATTTGCTTTCTCCTGTCTCTTTTCCCCTTGACCGTTTTGTTGCGGCCTTCAAGCTTTGCTCTGTTACTCTGAGTTGTTGGGACTGCCAAGAAGTGGTGTCCTTGCAGGTCTTCGGATATTCACATGGAACTTTCCAGACCACCTGTACCTGCATGTTTCACACGCTGCTCTACTATATCATTTCTGCCTCTGCGGGTAACCAGCACCTTCCGGACGGTGATCATCTGTTTAAACTGAAACCCTGTCATTTGTTGTGGCGGTTTTACACATGCACCTGTGTGCTGTAGCCCTGTGGCATTGATATGAAATAATATCTCTTGGGGGAGAAAATCGCTCATGTTAACTGACAAGTTCTTATGAAAATATAAGTAGACGCAAGCACAAAATTGGGTACGGGCGGTTTTTGAAATACAAGGAAAAGCAGAGATTGCTCAACAGGTAGATGCAGATGCTAATTTGCATTTTTACACCCTCTGACTTCACCAAATGAAACATCCAAGAAGTTAAAGCACGTTAAAAGAAACTTGGACAAGGTGGCAAATTTCTCTGGAATCAAATTCTAACTCCTGCCAGGATCTCCCAAGCAGTTTTTCAGCTTGTAAGAAGAAAGACTCCAAATAATTCTAATGCTACATAAATGAAAAGAATTGCGGGCAATGACATGGCTCAATTTTTGTAAGCATTCTGTGAATTTCCTATTACATCAGTTTCATGATTCAGCATTTTCCATTTCACTTATTTACAGTAATATAGAGCGAGATAACCCAAGGTTTCTGCAGGAGCCTGAACATAAGGTAGGCTGGACAGAAAGGGTGTCACCTGCTGTAAACTGACTTGTTTAGGAGAATTCAAAGCAGAAGAAAGTCATCAAAGAAACTGAGAAATATCCTCCCACTTTGTTCTGAGGGTCTAAATTATTACTCTGGCATTTTAAATGACTTGGTTGTGAAAAATAGGTTACTCCCATTGAGTTGATGACTAAAACAGAAGCCAAGAAGTGTGCCTACAGGAGGCTGGTGTGCCCCAGCCAAATGTACGCCACTGTTCAAGACGCAGCTAAAGTCACCACGCGGACGGTAAGCGTGTTACAAAGAACTAGATTTCTTTCTGGCAGCCGCAACTTGGTCGGAGTGACCACGCAGGAGTTGAAGAGCGCTGGCAATGCGTGGTTCGGCGCGGGGACATGGGCAGAAAACGGCCCGGGCCATGAGAGCCGGTGGACACTCAACGGAGGACAGAGGCAGGGAGCTTTCCCGGAGAGAAAGAGGCGAAGTTGAGCTCGGGAAGGAGGCGAGCCGCACGCAGACGGAGAGAGGAGCCCAGGACCGGTAGGGAGGGAGCGAAAGAGCCGAGCGCGGCGGGGTGGGGAGGGAACGCGGGGCAGTGAGGTTCCCAGGTGGACGGGGCGGACAGATGGGGGCCTGGGGGAACCCTGAGCTGGGTCTAGAGCGAGTCTGGGGTGGGGACAGGAACCGACACCACGAGAGCGCAGCGCGGCAAGTGCGGTCCGCGCACCCCTCTCGGCGCCCCGGGGCCCATCCCAGGTGCCGGCAGCGCCCGGGGCGCAGCGGCCAGAAGAGAGGAAACTCGCAGCGCCGCC